GTCCCCCCTCACGCCCGGCACCGTGGGCCCAGGTGCCGTGTCGCCGCCTCTGTCCCCCCTCAACTTCCTTGATGGAGGGGAGGGCCCCGGACTTGCTCTGTGTCCCCAGCACCTGTCTGGGTGGCCGACACCCGGTGGCTCCTGGGGAAGTGTGTGAATGAGGGAGCTCACGAATGGCTATTTCACGTCTCAACTGTGTCCAGCAGAGCGATACCAGGTGGATACAATGTGGGGGGGGAGGGGGGACAGAAAACTCGGGCGAATGAATTTACTGCGGGAAATGTTAACTGGCTGCGAACTCCAGCAACTGCACAAGCGACAACGGGCGCGACCCCAGGATGACGGTGTGTGAAATGAAGATACTGAACAAGAGGGTCTATACCGAAGTCCCCTCCAATCGATGCTTCTCCAACCAGTCATGTCCACTAATTGCACCGCTATCCAAGACTGCATCAGAAGGAGTTCAAGCCAAAAAAAAACACACACACACACACAAAAAAAACCCTGGAAGTCCCATCAAATCATGCTCTGACCGTGGCCATCGCGGCCCCTTTGTGCCCGCCGCCCGCACCCAGCTGGAGGGGGGTGGGGGGAGGAGCCTCGCTGAGCGCCAGCTGCCACCGCGCTGAGCTGAGCTGCTCTGAATAAAACAGCTCCACGCGAATCAATGAAGCCACCCTCAGACACGCTGCCTGCCGGCCTTGGAAATCACGCCCACTGCCTTTGTGTGTCTAACGCCATTTTAAATGCATATCTCACCGATTCCCCTAGGAATTCAGACAAAATATATATATAATTTTAAATGCCCTAAGGAAGTGCACTGGTGACGTAAAATATTTAAAATGGTGCAAAAAAAACCCCCCCCCCCAAAAAAAAAAAAATATGGTGCAGACAACTACGCTTTTTTTTCTCGGCGAAAGAAAACATCTGGCTAGGGGAGACTCGTGAATACAGTTGGGAAGCAACATGGTCTGTTCCTGCTGGACAGGAAGCAGATCAAAATGCTGAACGGACTGTGGGGCTCTGTGTGAGATTGCGTCAAGCCATCTTTATCCCTAAAGGTTGCCTTTTTCAATTTTTTTTCCTGACGGTAAAAACAATACAGAAAGGCCGGGGTTATCTTCACATAGTAATTTAGATATTCGGGACATAAAACATATCGTTGTGTTTTTTTAAGAAACATTTTTTTTATTCATTTCCTAGAGGAAGGGAGAGGGAGAGAGAAACATAAACATCCATGATGTGAGCGAGAATCATGGACCGGCTGCCTCCTGCACGCCCCGCGCTGGGGATCGAGCCCGCAACCCCCGGGGGGCGGGGGTGGGGGGGGTGCCCCGACGGGGAATCAAACTGTGACCTCCTGGTTCCCAGGCCGACGCACAACCACTGGGCCACACTGGCCGGCCTGGCTGCTCATCTCCTCGAAGC